TATGCGAAGGCAATTTGTTAATTGCATAAGAATTGCACCGTTCATCCGATTTTCAAAAATGAGGTGTCAAATAAAAGGGCTTGACCGCTAGATGAGCATTGAGGCTTTATTTTTTATTAGGGTTACCACCTGCGTATAAAATTATAATATTTACGTCGTTCGCCTGATTTTCAAAAATAAGATGTCAAATGAAAGTGTTTGGCTTACAGATGTGCATGTAGGGCAGAGCTGTGTAAGTGTGAAATCATTTTCAATTTTAAATCAACAATTTTTTTCTATCCAGTTTTCATTACTTATTCTTCGCTTAGGATTGAGGTTTAAAATTTTTGAATTTTCCATTCTCTCAAAGCAGTTATGAATTCACACATCAACATATTCATAGCAAGATTGAAAAAACCAATGCCCAATCAAAAAAAGGTTTAACACTGAATGAGTATTGAAAAGGCTGCAATCTTTTATGTGTGTGCATTCTTTAACTCAGTACCAATCATTAGTTCAAAGACACCCTGGTAAATAACTTTTTGATAAAAAGGAAGATTTTTGACAATTGCTCAATTGTAAAAATTCAAACCGGCGTTACCCAATTTAAGTTTTTTGGTAGAGGGGATTTTATATCATCTGTTTGGGATTATATATAAAATAGTTGTATTAACATTTACGTTTTAAATATAATTCATGTTTTATCTTGAAAATGTTTAAAATTTACTTTAAATTAGATAACTACTTCGCATAAGCTTTACATTTAGGTTGATAAAATTTTATTGAAAATATTTTAAAAATCTTAGTGTCTTTAATCAAAAAATAGCTCATCATAAAAATTGTATCGCCGTTCGGCGTCGGCGTAAGTTTGTAGGTCCCTCCCATTTGTGTGACAGCAAAGGCGCACGCTACAAATCGGAGGAGAAGCTCGGCAAAAACTTAGCAAAAGTGTCAAGGCCAAAATGTGATTATTATAAATAAATTTAGTTTCAAACAGGTCGCAACCCTCTTCAAACACCTCAAAAGTATTCCCAATATTATTTAGTTGTGAACCCGCATGAGTCCGAAATTACCATTTTTTACCAGAATTTCCAGATTTTACCGGAAATCGCACTTGGTTTTCTGGCACTGGCAACTGAGAGGACAAATAAGAGAGTCAGTAAGGTCTCTTTGTCAGAAGCTACCTGGTGGTAAATTCTGGTAAATGTGTCAAAAGATCCGATGTAGTGTGTTTGACAACCAAATTGTAAACAAAATAGAAGTGCACTCTGCTAATGCATGTTGAAAAGTAAATAATTCCTTGCTTGAGTGGATGCTAATGAGTTTTGGTTAAATTACAAAACGCTTAAAAAGGTATTAGCCGTCATTTTACGTTTAAAAACTTTAAAACTTTAACACATTACCACCCTATACTCTATATGTGGTTGACCATTGAACTAAATCGTTGTTTATTTGGGTAAGATTAAACTATATTTTACTATTCAATATTGGAGTTGGTGTGAAACAAAAATTAATAATTTATTGTTATGTATGCAAATGAGAACTACAATTCTGAGCTTATTGAGCATCTCTTAGTCAAAAACAAAGGCAATTTTGCTTGATTAAGTTTCGAATCTAAGAAGAAAATGTTTTTAACAAACAAAAGGTTAATAATAAAATTTGAAGGATTTAAGATATTGCGTATGGTAGCATGAAACGTCACAATCTTCTTAATTGTCAGGCTGTTGATATGGCTACGAAAAAGTGGCAATGGAAACACATAGCTGAAGATTTCATACTTACAGTGGATAAACTTCAAACCTCTAATATAAATTAGTTAAATTTAGTTATTATTTTTTTTATCAATTTTAAGTTTTCGTTTGGAATAATTTTCATGAACTTATATATTAGGAGATCTCTTTGGAAAATTACCGTACATCCGATATCTATTGAAATTTTGACTTCCTCACTTTTTTGGAAAAAGAAGTTCAAGATACAAGTTTATGTGCAAAAAATAAATTAAACAATAAAAGTCTCCTTATATTTATGGAACTTAAAATAGAAAAATTTTTATTTCATTACCCAGACTTTATGAATAGCCTACTCTATAAGTAATAGTAGAAATTCCGAATTAGTAAGTTCAGTCAAGACGTCATTCAAAAGTTTTGAAGAAAATCACTTTTCTCTTTTGTGAAAATTTGGGACTATCTTATGCGAGTATTGTCGACAAAATGTTAGTCTATGAATGACTAAAAATTAACGAATAAATGGTTAATCGCGATTAATGATTAAAATTAATTAAGCGATCGCTGTGGTGTAGTGGTTAGAAGTGCGCACTACCATTCCGCAGGGTGAGCGTCCGAGCCCAGTTCCGGCCAAC